GTTAATGATTTTAGGGTTAGGGCTAGATATGGTGGGGGTATATATAAATTAATTTATTGTAAATAAATATAAAAATAAAAATAAAAAATATTTTTTTTAATCCCTTAAAAACCTGATTAGTGAAATATCAAACTTAAATGAGGAATTATGAAAATGGATATCTAATAATAGGTGTAGGTGTAATTTCCTCTTGAATGAACGGTCAAAATCTATCTCTTTGAGGCTCCACATGGGCTACACACATCAACGCCTAAGCCCAACCCAACTCCCGCAATGCTATCCGGTCTGGACCAAGCTAAAGTCTTTCCGGGCTGACCCGAATCTCGACGACCCGTCAGGCAATACCTTCTTAAGAATTTCGAAATGCTCAGTAAATTCTTACATCCTTCTATTTTCTGCTAAACCCTAAACCCCAATTCGATTTGCAATGCCATTAGCAGACGATAAAAGTGGAGCACCCAACAACAGAGAACTATATGCTTTACTTCATATATCACCAGAAGCCACTGATGAAGAAATCAGAAAGGCTTATCGTCAGTGGGCCCAAATTTATCACCCTGATAAATACCAAGCTTCTCATGTACCACTCTTTTACTCTTGTTTCTATTTTTTAATTCTACTTCTGCAATTTTAAANTCTTTCCTTATGCACTTCGCAAGTGGAGTAGAAGCACAAAGAATTATAAGAATCTTATAGCGACGAGGGATGGAAGAATTAAATACGTTAAGTGTTCTATTTGTAGTGATGATATATGAGACATGTAGGTTGCTTCTATTTCCATTCGTAGATTACAGTTTTGTTATGTAATTATTAATTTGAGAACTTATAATGTGTTATTTTATGTTTGTTTGCAAGGTAGACTATTAATTTCATCTTCTTATTGATTTCCAAGATGTTTTATGATTTATTCTGGGCATATTTTTGTACTTTTATATTCTTTGAATTATTTTACAATCACAGGAAATCGGTACTCAATTAAGCCTTTTTAGATGTACTACAACCAAAGTTACAATATTTCTTTCATGGAATGTTTACTAGAACTTACATAGAACGTATATATAATTTTCTTGTAACTGATAGCTCTGTGCAACCTGTTGGACTAAAATGCAATTGTCGACTATTTCGTTAACCATGCATGGGCGCATTAAAATATCTCGATTGAAGCCGAGTTAAAGTGAGGCGAACATCAACCCCTCAAAGGCACTAATTGTGATGTAGTAATTGGAGGCACATGCTTCAGTTGAGTAAGGCACGCATCTTAAGGCTTGTGATACGCAATTCTATTGGCTTATTTATTTTGTTTCAAGTGTGGGCCTACAAAACATTAAGAATTCTGATTGACCCACTTTTGGAAACCCACTAAATTTTACTAAACTTTTAAACTTGTACATATTTTCTGATTAACCCACCTTGTGAATCGACTATGACTAAATCATTAAAAGACTCTGTTTCTTAAAAACCCATTTTGGGAATAATCTACTGTCCCACCAGCTAAAGTAATAGTTTCTTTTTTGTTACTTTGTAATTTTTTTGTTTATTCCCACTCACACTTTAAATTGTTCTTTTATGAATTTTGAAGATCTTTATGATTTATTATACATTTATTTTGCATTTTAATAATTATTTGACATTTTTTTGGTTTACAGTGACTCTTACGACAGAAAATGCCTCGAGGCTTCTGCCTTGCAATTCAAAGGAACATTACCTGATTCCGCCTTTTTTAACGCACCAAGCTACTCAACCTTGTTCACCTAATTGGACCCCAATTGGATTTTAGTAAACCTGACCGCAGTAGATTAATTAGCATTTTGTTCAATTGCATTTGGCTTTGCTCTTGTTCACATCATGTAGTAGTTTTCTCAGTCGTGACTTTCGTCATTGATTATGTGTTTTTAATATGCCCAAGCAAGAATATTCTGCTTCTATCACTCAGTGGATTAATTATATGTAAATTACTATGCTCAGGAAAGATTTTTTGTGCCCCCATTTCCTGTGATGATGCTGGGGTTGGGTGTATAGTTATTACATTGCACCTGAATGCAGATGTTACTGTCTTTGGAACTTTCATTTTGATCCTTGGTATCCTTTTCTTTTCTTCTTTCTTCTTTTTCTGGGGTGGGGACAAAGTAATTGAAGTCGTTGTTGGCCTTTTGTTATTTTGTTTAACTTATTCACATTGTGTTCATCCCCTCTTTCAGATGAAGGAAATAGCTACGGAGAACTTTCAACGAATATGTGAAGCCTATGAAATTTTATGTGATCAAAATAAAAGGCAAATTTATGATATATATGGTATGGAAGGATTAACATCTGGTTTGGAGCTTGGTCCCAAACTGAATAAAGTTGAAGAGATCAAGGAAGAACTTGAGCGATTGAGGCGTCAGAAGGAGCAAGAAAAGGTCTTAGCACATGTCCAACCTTCTGGTTCGATTCTGGCAAATTTATCGTTGCCACAGTTTTTAGAGGGTGATGGCATTATGAGAGGGTATAACTATATTATTTTGCTTTGTTCATTCCTTTTTATTCCCTCTGTTTGAATAAGGTGACATTTGTTACTGGGTGGCATTGACTCTTGTAAAAGTCTACTGTGTATCAAGCAAATGTTATGCATTAATAATCATGGTGCTTTATGCTGCAATAAATTTCTTCTCATCATTCAATTGTTTATGACTTCTCTGTCCCAAAGACCTAATAAATGTCTGAATTGGGTAGCCTTAAATTTTGATTGTTGTTTATTATATTTCAGACACCCAACGCAAATTAAATGTCATTGTTTGTTTTTGCGGCCAACTGCAAGTATTGTGGATCTTTTCCAGATATCAATTTATATATTTACTTTCTATAATACGATGAGCAATTAATTAAACGCCATCCCTCATAAAGTGTGGTTGAACGCAGAAGTAAAGTTGTGACAACCAGTTCAGGATTTGAAAACTATTTTATTCATTATTTACTATTTTGGTTGTAATTTAGCATACCTTGGGATAAGAGCCAATATGTTGTGCTCATTTTTCTTTTAATGTTTTTATGTATGAATTTCAGGATGGCTATGGCCAGTGAAGTTCATTCTAAATTATCCAAACACAATGCTATTTCTTTGGGTGGGAATTTGGCTGTTAATGGGAATTCTGGTGGTGGTGCTGCATCCGTGGTCCTTAGGCATCAGTTATCTTCAGTTTCTTCTGTAGAATTCATGGGTTCACTTGGTTTGCGAGCACTAATTGGTGTTCAAACTTCTCGGTAGGGCGATGGTCCCTAATGTTTTTCTCATATTTAGCCCATATGTCTTGAATGACTTGTTGTCAGCTTTTTATTTCAGCCAATTGTCTCTTCACTCTACTGCAACGATGGGCCTTGCCATGTCTTTAAGAGATGGTTCAATTAATCTTTCTAATACCTGGACTCGTCAACTCTCAGAGACAACAAATGGAAATGTAAGCTTTTTCTCCGTGGCACAAGATGGTTTCTGCACACACGATGAGTATGACTAATCTTGGAGTAGTTTCTATGCTTTCATGAGCCTGTTTACCAACTAGATATATGATGGGAAGTTTGTATAGTTGGCTTCTAATTAGTCTCTACCAATTTTTATTAGTCAATTTGAAGTATGTGGCTAACAATATTTTACAGCTTGTCTAAATTGTTTTAAGCTATACATTGACTCTTTCTTTTTGTAATTATAATAATTCATTACTGCATTTTCCACCTACCAGATAGAACTTATTTTAGGTCCAGAGTCATCTATAGGTGTTGGATGGCAAAAGAAAGAACAGAAAAGTGCTGCTTCCGGAGAGATTAAGGTAGTACTTCTATTTTTCTTGTACCATAAATCTGCAGCCCAGCATATGTACTTTGAAATTATTGATGTTTTTCCTTATTCCTGGGATGAAAAAAATAGATGCATGAAAATGTCTGTTAATAATAAAAGTTGAGATATGATGCTTACGATTCTAGAAATTAAAGATTACTAAGTGTTTTTCATGTATTATTTTTGTTATTATCAAATTATATGTTTGTGGTCTTGTCAATTCTAGCATGAAATGATGCACGATTGATCATTACTAGAGTTCTCACAAATTTTGTTTCTCCGAACTGTTTCTTTGAATGGAAACTATATTTTGCTATGCCAGACTACCAAACCAACTCTTGCTGCATGAGTTATTTAATCTCACCCAGGTGACAATGCTGAATGCTATGATTGAAATGGTAATTTCTGTTGTGATTCTTCACCTTGCAAAGGGCTAACCCAAATATAAATTGCTGTAACACATGCGCAGTTTTATTGGTGTGGGAAATTCTTTGAGAAACTAATTCACATATCTTGATTATTTAGCAAATAAACTCTCTCTCTCTCTCACACACACACACACACACACACTCAGACAAGTAAACCATGTGTGTTAATTTTCCCATCACAAGAAATTTCTTGAAAGACTTTTCACTGTCATCCAGTGAGTTAGATGCTTCTGCTAGCTAGTGCTTGCTCATCCGGTTTCCGAACAACACAAAGACCAATCATGTGACTTATTTTCATGTCCTTTTTCAGCTGTAGCATTATATATGCTATACTCCATTTATTTGAACTTAAGATGATGACAAAAAGATTTTCCTGTAAATTCTGCCGAGAAATTATTTCATTTTTCCATGCTTTTCCACTGTTTGATAATATACTTGGAATAAATATAGTTCCCATTGGCTAGCAAAATTCAATTTACCATGCCTCTCTTTGGTTTAGTTAAAAGTCATATTTTTAGTAGATTTTGATAAAAGTTAATGAAATATGTGGTTGAAAAGTTGATAAAAATTGTGGGTCCCATTAAATGTGTTTTTAAAAATTAGTTTTGAGTAAAAAATAAGTCTTGGAGAATGGGGACCAAACATGGGCTATATCTAGCTGGCTCGACTATGGGATACACGCTTCAATCTTATCCAATAAAATTCCACTTCAACTCAAAGGATTTATAAATATTTCTATTTAGTTCCCTGAAGTTTGAGTTAATACTGGAAAATCAGTTTTCTGTGAAATTACTTGTTTGCTCTATTTTAAAGAGCTCCAGGGAGTAACATCAGGACCAATCTTCTTCTTCCTGGCTTAATGCTCTGTAGTATCTTTTACATTGGCTTACCAGTTCTTGAAAGGTTTTGTTCAGTCTGCATGATTTACTGATATTTTATCTATACCCACCTTAAATTGAGTGTGGGCTTGAAAATTCTGTTTTCCCATCATGCATAAACTTCCTTAAATCCTTGCCTTCATCAGTCGTACATTGCAACATATTCTATTTTTGCCCCTTTGTGTTGTTTATGTTTTCTCGTTGTGGTTCTTGGAGAAACAAGAATGAAATTGAGTAGGATCTACAGTACCCAGAGCTTTGAGATAGTTGATCATCAAATTTTTTAAAGAACAATGGACCCATTTTTTTTAAACTTGCATTTAGATTTCTTGCTTCCTTTATATGAAATGATGGATGTTATATCTACTTGGGGAGTATAGTAGAGTCGCAGCACAATTTCTGGAAATATCAATGATATACCATGTTTGTCATGCCAAGGTTTCTTGCTAGTTTTTTTCTGTAACTAGAAATGGTGTGGGAGTTTTTTAATTTACTGGAAAACCTCAGAAGAACTAAGGTTGTGTTTGATAGGGTAGATTTGCCGAGAAAAATGGAAAACAAATTCCATTTCCCTCCCATTTGGTTGTTTGATAGGGAAACAATTGCCAAGAATTTCTTTTCCATAGTGGACTCTCACGCGCCTAATTTCCCTAAAAATGGTGAAAAGCTTTTCCAGGTGTGCTGTTGAATTTTTTTTTACATTTTTTTTTATTTGTAATGGAAACAAATTTCATAATCAAGTGTAAAAAAAAATTTCACTTTCAAGGACAATCTTGATGCAAACGAAGGCTAAACGAGCACTAAACTTTGATTAAATGTGTTTACTATAAGTAAGGTTGTGTTTGATAGGGTAGATTTGCCAAGGAAAATGGAAAACAAATTCCATTTCCCTCCCATTTGGTTGTTTGATAGGGAAACAATTGCCAAGAATTTCTTTTCCATGGTGGACTCTCACGCGCCTAATTTCCCTAAAAATGGTGAAAAGCTTTTCCCACCATTTTGGTGGAAAAAGCTTTTCCAGGTGTGCTGTTGATTTTTTTTTTACTTTTTTTTTTTATTTGTAATGGAAACAAATTTCATAATCAAGTATAAAAAAAAATTTCACTTTCAAGGACAATCTTGATGCAAACGAAGGCCAAACGAGTACTAAATTTTGATTAAAAAAAATGATTTTTTAGGAAACATTTTTTTTCGTTTTTTTACTTTTTGGCAATGGAAACAAATTTTATAACAAATTGTAAAAAATATTATCACTTTAATGGACAATTTTGATGCAAACGAAGGCCAAACAAACATAAAATTTAAAAATTTTTCGGGTAGAAAATTAAACCAATCAAACACACTTAATTAACAATTCCCTACAAAACATTTTCTAGGCAATTATTTTCCCTGAAATTCATTTTCTTTCCACCCTTGCAATCAAACGGACCCTAACTGAAGTATGATGATATTTGGTTGATTATGGCCTTGACATAATAGTTATGCTTGAAAGCCCAGTAAAGAACAATGTTGGGTTTGTAATGAACTATGAGTTCGAAACAGTTCAAGCTGCGGAATGTAGCTATTCATGAGGTTCTGATAGTCACCCAAAAGATTTCTGTCCTTGAGTCACACTTTTATGATTTTCAAGATTCTCTGGGCAGGGGAACATCTTTCATAGGTGCTCCTAAATTTTGGACTTTCCCTTACAAAATTTTACATAGTTTGAGCTCTACAGTCTAAATTAGTAATGTGAATGAGGATTTCTCCTCTCCCATAATTTTCTGAAGGCTCAATTGGATTTTTGGATTCTGCATTTTCTGTTTGATCTTTCTTCTTAGCGCTTCAACGTTGTAGGTTTTGTTTTTCAAATAATTGTTGCATCTGGAAGTTTTCAAAGATTCTTTCTTTTTTTCTTTTATTTATATATTTTTCATGCCCCTATTAATGTCATTTTTATGAACGGTTTTCCCATGTTAAAACTATTATTGTTACATTCTTAATATATGCCATCTCATCATTCATGTTCTTTATATTGTAGATTGGCACTGGTTCTTTTGGCGCAGTGGGCCATTACACCCACCGCTTCTCCTCAAAATCTCATGGGCGAATTGCAGGCAGAGTTGGAAGGTGTGTCTGTTGTTTTTCTCTCCCGTGTTATTTCCAAAAACTGACCAATTACCTTATTCATGTTTGCATAGTTAACTTAGACTGCAAGTTCTGCTCTCATAATGCTGAATTCCAAGGGTGTCAATATAGTTAATAAATTAGTGTGGCTCAATATTCTGAGCTGTTTCCCTTTAGGTTTTATAGTTAATAACCTAAATAATCACCAATAACAGTTTTCGTGGATCAACATTTTCTCATGCTTCAATATTAATATCAAATGAAGAGTAATTATTTTTTTCCTGGAAACATGTAGCATAAATATTTATAGTGGAAATTGATAAATCTTTATATGTTCTTGGTATTTGGCTCAATATATATATATATATATAAAGAAAGTTGTGATAGTAAACACAAGCTGAGCCTTTATCAGTTGCTTTTGTTTCAGGATTTGGGCTAAGTTTAATATGTTGATTGCAGTTATGTTTAAGTGATATATATATTTGTACTTGTTAATATTCACCATGTATTGACTTAATTAGTAATCTTACTGATGTTAGAAGAGAGCTCCTTAATGGTAAATTCTAATTTATAGTCCAATAATGAGTGCGTTGGACAAATATAATCCTGTGGTAGACTGCTTCGATGTATATTTTGACTAAGATGTTCAAACTTCAGCCAAAGGGAGAAAAACCAATAAGCTCTTCAAAAGTGCCTATTTGGGAAGCCAAAAAGAAAATTATCAGATGCCAGAAAGTTCATTTGTTTGTTTATTCCCCATCATCATTGAAAGAATTTTTTGTTTAGACTAAAACAGCACATAATTTATTAGTTGCTTTTATTTGGGAAAACACAGTGCCATCATTTATGGGTCTATGGTCAGCTTTTCTTTTTCCCACAGCAAATATTATGTGAAAAGTTTGCCAGTCTCTCTCCCCAATACATTCTCTCTGAGTCGAAATGTGAATGGCTGTGGTGCAAGTCAGCAAAGTTGATATGTATCACAAGCTCAAAGCAAACACACATCTCCTTGATCACCTAAATTCAGTTATAAGAACTCGATTTCTTTTTAGTCTCTTCATATCAGCTTTGGTAAGGTCCCTAATACACTTGCATCTGTATACACAGAAAATTGATCAGAATTGATCTAAAAGCTTAAGCTATATTTCATTTAAATATCGTCTTTCAACTCATCCCTTCATGTGTAGTCGAAATTTATTTTTTCCAATCAATGCCTTACACTTGCACTATTTTGTAAATGGGTAGCAGCAAGACCTGAACTCAAGATATTTGCTTGCATGTTGAAGTACTTGATCTAAAATCTTAAACTATGAGATAGGACCAAATGTATACCATTTAAATATTGTCTTTAACAAATTACATGTCTCAATTTTTCGTCGTCCATTTGCTAAAAATTAAATTGCATCGGTCTTGGGACTACTTTGTCCGCACGACCAACTATTTGTACCAAGAATTCTTTCTTTTGCTTTCCCTAGTCATATATACATATATGTCCCTTTTCTGTGGCATCTATATTTTTCAGAAATGACATGAACCATTGATGTGAAAAGTGAATCTTTAATATGACACAACATAGAAGTTGATTGAATAAAATTTAATACCTTTGCCTTGAATACGATTTTCAAAATCTTCCCATCTCTTTCAGCTCCGGTTTCTTTCGGTAATTCCAGCTGTAAAAGTCAAGTGGGCCTGTCAACTGCCATACATTTACAACATGGATGGATAACCTGAGTATTTTCCATGCTATGATAGAGAAATACAGCCACACCAACAATCAGTTGTGGGCTCTTTGATTTTGGGATGGGCTGTTGCTTCAACACTACTGGATGCACATTTGATTTTAGTTTTCTTTCTTGTGAGATGTGAAATCCAGATTTCATGATAGTTTTTAGCATCTGCTGTTGCAAGAGAGCTTATTGAAAATTATTCTAGTCTAACCAACAATCATGTCACATTGTCACCATTTCGTGGTCAAGATAACTGGTTGGGCTTCACAATTGCAACATTGTGGTTGCTGTTTTTAAAGTACAAGAAAGGGCTTCCTGGAATTTCAGGATAGAAGAAAGCCTTTCAACCCTTATATATGTTTTATAGCATGAAGATTCTTTTTGTGCTTGCACTGTTATTCAGATATTTCAATTAGACTTTCCTTGTGACATTTATCTGTTTTTGCAGTAGTGGGCTTGAACTTGAAGTAGGGGGTGGAAGAAAGATATCCAACTTCACAACCATTCGGATGTTGTATACAATAGGACTACAGGTACTTGTGAATCTATGAAGTTTGCACATATTTAGGAAAATCGCACCATTCTTCGTAGTTATATGTCCTAATTAGAAGCCTTCATATTTAAGAAGTAGGTGACAGCATATCCTTGTTTTATTGACTAGTAAAATGTTCGGAACAGTATCAAGGAGTACTTCAGCAACCCAGATTTTGTCTAAAAGCATGTTTGGAAGTTATATATAATCGCTTTAAATTATAAACAGATAGGAATAAGTGGAGGATAAATGGATTAAACTTGTGGATCCCGCGAAATATGTGGATAAAAGGTAGTTTGGCTGATTATAAACAGATGCAAAACAAGGGCTAAATCTGCTTAATGCGGCTTCCTTTACATTGCATTACAGTTATAAGATCCGGTTTCACGGACATGTTTTTAGCTTATATAGAATTTTTCTTTAGGTCCCTTTTAGTGTTCGACTTGTGACTTTTTAACCTTGTCACTGCTAGGGAATATTTTGGAAATTTGAACTTCATCGTGGAGGACAAAAGTTGATTGTTCCTGTAAGTGCATTCTCAAACTCAGTCTGGTTTTTGTAGTTGAGGACCTGTTTAAATGACCCACGTGGAACTTCTGTTTCATAAATTTGCTTCTCTTCTTGCATTTTACCAATTTTAACACATACTGATAGAGGTTCCAATTCTTCTGGCTTCTCTCTGCCTAAAACCATTTGCTCCTGTTTTGTAAATGTTAGAATGTAATCATATAAGTGTTTTTAACAGAAGGAATAATGCTGAAACTTTATGAATGTGAATTTATTTTGTACAGAAACAAGAATCTTATGAACGGAAAATTGGAAACATTAAATGCAATTCAGAGCACAATGTCAAGGATATTGAATAAAATTACAGAGATCGTCAAAGATTGCGATTATATTTACTTTCCTTTTAGTGTAGGTTTACTTTCCTAAGTAGTTGCTTATGTAATCTTTCCTTTTATGTTTATTTCCTTCTATAGTTATTTGTAACCCTATAAATAGGGTCTTCTACATTGTAATATTAACAAGACAATATAATACAATTTATATTTCTTGACATGGTATCAGAGCCAATTCCTTAAAATTCTCTTGTTTTCTTGATAAGGTTTTCTCACGGCGGGAGGAGCTTTCTTTTGCTCCTCCCGCCCGGTCTCAATAGGGTTTTCGTTCGTTCTGTCAATTTAATTGCCCAATCTTGAGTTTTTGTTTTCGTTTATTTTTTTT